TTTTTTGTTGAAATAACATGTTTCTTCTTAGTTTTTTTCTTATCAGTTGTGTACATTAGGGTTTAATCTTACATCTAATGCTGTTAAATTAATGTTTATTGCATTATTTCAGTATCATGTGTGTCACCATGTTGGTGTTTAGTGTTTGTGTGAATGAGACTGTGCGCCTTCTATATATAAGTATTGTCCTCCTCAGCTCGCCCAGTTTGTGATGAGCTTTGGTTCATCATGTGACTTTCTCATCACCACCAGTTTTTGGTGGTTATCAGTGCATTACAATGATTCAAAACAGATATTAACACTTCAATATGTTGGTTTATCAACATTACATCAGTTAATGAAATACGGTATTTTATTGTGAATTTAAGTTAAGTCTGTAAAACCTAAAATGTTGCTACCATATTTTTTACGGTGAAGTTCTGGCAACCACAGCTGCCGGTATTTTACCGTAAATGTCACAGATTTTTTTTTACAGTGTAGGCCTGTCGCAATAATCAATATATCGACTTATCGCACTACATATGTACATGACCTCAATCATTTTTGGTGACGTAATATATTGCCCATTATATTTACATAAAAAGTTATATCACCATGTTTTTTTGCATTCCACTTGCGCCTGTGTCTTTTTCAGCTTCCCGCACATAACGTGGTGTAGTCGGTGCCAGTTCAAATTTAAAAATGCTTCTTCAAACAAAGTTTCATCTGCAGATATGGCCTTGTTTAGGGATCTGTGTCTTATCTGACTGCTGAGTAGTGATTGTGTTTTTCAGCAATAGTGTGCAGCCTTAATTTACAGAGAAAGGAAGGTCAGGGAAAAATCTGTAGATGGTAAAATCTCCATACGAATTATTTGTGAATTTTTATTTTTTTCTACTTGTTACTTTGCACTTTTTGTTAGAAAATGTTTATTTACTATTTATTCAAGTTTTTTAAGGTATCTAATATTTTGACTTAATTTCCATGATTTAAATATTCTTAAGAATTAAAAAGGTTGTTGTCATTTGAAAGTGTGTAGGCCTTCTTTCATAAATATGCTGTTAAATTATGATTATATATTCAGTGGCATAAAATGGTCTTAAAATGACAATAATATCATTTATCGCATTTATTTCTGGGGCAATATATCGCACAAAAAAAAAAGTTGTTATGGTGACAGGCCTAGCCACACAATTCAACATGTACATGTATATGTAAATGTAAAAATAAAGGAAAAATAATAAATAAAGGGGCAAAAAGTAATACAAAAATAAATTCAGGACTAAAAATTTATTGTATTTGTTTTATCAGGTCATACATTTCTTTCTTTATTTTATTTGTATTTCTTTATTTTTAATTTCTGCAGGTTTGGGCCTCCATGTAACACTAACTAATCATTTTATTTATAGTAATTGATCTTGATGAAGTTGTTCGTGGTGAGTTGGTCTATTGTAAATTACTTTTGGTACAGATTTGAGTTACAGCCCAAAATGCATTAGTCTTCGTTTAAGTGCCCTCTTTTGGTGGTTAGGTGCAGCTCCATTACACTAATTTTAAGCCTCTAGGCTGCATATTTAATGCATCACCCTCATCACCCACATCTGATTCAACTCATCAGCAGATACTTCAAGACCTGAGCTGCGTTCTCAGGGTTCACAGGGTCGTTCACTGCTCCCTACTCACTGAGTAGTGGATATCTGTTGACGTTCACTTCATTTAGCCATTTGGAACGTCCTGAAACATCAGCAAACACGGGCACATATTTCAGTAGGCCTAAATAAATAGGAATTACCTTACGTTAATATATGTATAAGCCATTACACACCCATGCATCTTATATAAAAGATGTATTATAAATGTAATATACAGTGGGTACGGAAAGTATTCAGACCCCCTTAAATTTTTCACTCTTTGTTATATTGCAGCCATTTGCTAAAATCATTTAAGTTAATTTTTGTTCCTCATTAATGTACACACAGCACCCCATATTGACAGAAAAACACAGAATTGTTGACATTTTTGCAGATTTATTAAAAAAGAAAAACTGAAATATCACATGGTCCTAAGTATTCAGACCCTTTGCTCAGTATTTAGTAGAAGCACCCTTTTGATCTAATACAGCCATGAG